CCTCCTAAGTCCTGGGACCAGGACCACCACACCTCGCCTTTACTACTCTGTGCTTGGGTTGCTGGCCCAAGTGGGTCCTCAAGTTTGTTCAGGTGAAGTATAGGCAGTGAGAATGGGAAGGTAGGGCTGTGACAGTCTAGGTTTGGAGGAAAGAGTTTTTGTTTGTTTTGGTACAAGGTCTCATGTAGGCCAGATCTTGATCCTGTTGCCTTCCACCTCTGAAGTGTGGGGTTCTCAGGCGTGTGCTGTCTGCCATGCCTGGCTGGAAAACAGTATTTTTATTGCTGTTGTCTTGGAGAAACCACCCTCTAAAGGAGAGCTAAACATCCTCTCCGTGCCTGAGTTTCTGCTCTGGGAAAGGTGATTGCAGCCTTGCTTTCCCCTTGGAGAGTGCTGTTGGGTTCTGGGAAGGGAGCAGCTGCAGCCCTGGGGAGCTGCGACCAAGCCCTCCGTGTGGCCTGGTTGAGTTTGCTTAGTTGTTGGGAAGGTGTGCTGGCTTTGAGGAGATTAGTGACCTGGGGCACCTCTCTAGTGTATTCCTGCTAAGCTGCCTTCATTCTTTAATCGCATGAATAATTGTGCCCTTTTATTGTGCCTTTAAGTGGTGGAATAGGAACATTGGAATCGAGTTGTCACTGGTGGCTGGGTTTCTGAGTCTCATTTCCTTTCATCCTCTGGTGTATTGTATTTTAAAGTGTACAGGTAGTGTGCATTGCTGTTTGTGGTACAGAAATGTCTGTGGACAGAATCTGAAGTTCCTTTACCAATTCTGTGTGTTTGTCTTCATATGTATGCCTAGGTGAGGCTTCTTGATTTTTGATGCTAGGAATTAATCTGTCTTATACAAACTTTTACTTTTTAAAAAATTTTATTATTTTTTGGTGTTTTGAGACAGGGTCTCTCTGGCTGTCCTGGAACGCACTGTGTAGGCCAGTCTGGCTGCTGCCTCTGTCATTGCAAGTGCTGGGATGAAAGGCATGTGCCACCATGTCCAGCTTTGGAGACTGTCTGATGTGGCCTAGCATGGTTTTAAACTCCCTGTGAAGTCCTTTGGCTCTTCCTGCTTCTACTTCCTAAATCCTATGGATCAAAGCCGGGCCTTAGTGCGTGCAGAGAACCCTGCCAGCTGAGCTCCTCCCTAGCCTTTTTTTTTTTTTTTTTTTTTATAATATAGGAATACTATCCTTAAAGCTCGTTCTGTGACTACCTAATGTCATTAGGCAAGTTTTGATCTGAAGGTGTTCCAAGGTGACTAATGACCGCCAGCTCTTGATGACCTTGACCTGTTTGACTGGTGCGCGAATGCCTCTGTGCCACTGTGGCGGGAACAGCAGAGCAGAACTGTGTTAGGCGGGTGTTGGTGCCTTGCATTTTCCTCTTGGTTTTTATTGGGGGGGGCAGGATCAAATGTGATATTTCATAGGTGGTTAAGTCTGTTGTTTCCCTTTTTCATAAAGGAACAAAAGAAAGAGAAAAAAGAAGTCTATAAGATAACCCAGGTTGTCCCAGGTTGTCCGTCCTCTTAACTCACCAGGTAGCTTAGCATGACCTTGAACTTCTGACCCTCCTGCCACTCCCTCCTGCTGGTTGGGATTCTAGGTGTTTTTTTTTCTAGTGCCAAGGATCAGACTAGGGCTTCAGTCAAGCAGTTTACCAACTCCGCTGCCCAAGATGGGTTAACATCCATTGTCCGTGAGGAAGCTAATGAAGTTCACATAATTCATTAGTTTTTCATAATTATATTGGACAAAGTATCTTTGGGGGTATTCACAGCGACATTTCAGGGGGTCTTGGTGCATCAAATCACGTTGGCCTGGAATGAATCCACAGATTCTCATCTTTTTTTTTTCTTTTCTTTTTTTTTGGTTTTTCGAGACAGGGTTTCTCTGTGGTTTTGGAGCCTGTCCTGGAACTAGCTCTTGTAGACCAGGCTGGTCTCGAACTCATAGAGATCCGCCTGCCTCTGCCTCCCTAGTGCTGGGATTAAAGGTGTGCGCCACCACCGCCCTGCTTCACAGATTCTCATCTTCTGTGGAAACAAAAGCAGAACTTCTTTTCCAAAGCAATATACCCTTAGACCCATATTTTAAATTTCTTAGCAGTTCCCCAGAATCAAATGTCTCTCTTTAGTCAAAAAAACCAAAAGATAACACAATATACATAGTCCAAATTCTCTGTGCACATGCCATCCTTTCGTGGCTTATTATTTCTTTACTCCTTTTAACCTGACTGTCTATAGTCTCTTTAAAGACTTACTCTCTTTCTTTCATTCTTTTTGAGTCCTTCAATTCACCTTCCTGCCTCCTCCTTATTACTTTCCTGCTGGCCAGCCTTCCGGAGGGTGTCTCTCTCGGTGGATTCCTAGTTCCCCATCTTGCTGGGAGCCTCCACTTGTAGCATCCACTGCACTATGTGCCACGGTATGGCCTTTGAGTTTGGAACTAGGCTGAAGATTTAAAAGCATACACACACAGACAGACATGGACATGGGTCATCTTTGAAACAAGAATGTCCCCTTTATTGTTCTCCAGGGCAGCTTATACAGCTTCTATAGGGATCCTTAACTGATAGCCATGCCCATAGCCAAACCCACCAGAAACCACTCCCCTGCCATCAGGAACTCCTGAGGGTCTCGTGCTCAGAGCAGCTGCAGACACAGGAAAACAAGTTGTTTTGCTCAGAGCAGCAGCAAGCATAACAAGTTGTTTATGAGAAATTCAGGGTCTGGGGGTCCACAGTCCCCAACAACCAACTTTCTGTTTCCCATGATTTCCTTCACTATCTAAGCTTGGCTGTTCTGGAATTTTCTCTGTAGACTGGCCTCAAACTCAGAGAGATCCTTCAGCCTCTGCACTGCTTTCCAAGTGCTGGAGTTAGTGTACCACCACACAGACTCTTAAGTCTTAAGTGGGCTATTGCCCTGAGGTCACTACTCCCTTTATTCCATTTCTTAATCTATTTTTCCCCTTGGATACAGAACGTAGCTCTGTTTTTCTTCCTGGTGCTCCTTTTTCTCTTTACATATTTTTCTTGTTCGGTTTGCTCCTTTTATGTATCTTCATTAGAGTTAACACTAGTAACCACATAACAAAGTCTATACTAGGCTGCTTTGAGATTTTCTCTGCCAAGGGAATTAATCCAAAACTCTTTACTTTAGCCTCAGGCAAACTTTTCTGATAAGGGTGAAAAGCAGTAATATTCTTCACCAAAATATCACAAGAACAAAGTGTAGGCAACAGATAAAATTCTCTGAAACCTCGTGAGCCAGCCCTTACAGTTCAGATCACTCTTAGCACCACTGTTCCTACTGGTATGGCCCATTAAGCATCGCTTAAAGCATTCTACTGCTTTCCTAACCCAAACTCCCAAGTCCATATTCCTTCAAACAAAAGCATGATCAGGCCTTTTATAGCGATATCCCAGTCTCTGGTACCAAGTTCTGATTTAGTTAGGGTTTCTAACTAAATTTGCTGTGAAGAGACACCATGACCGTGATAACTTTTTTTTTAAATTTATTACGTATACAGTGTTCTGCCTGCATGTATGCCTGCACACCAGAATAGGGTACCAGATCTCATTCTAGATGGTTGTGAGCCACCCATGCTGTGAACTGAACTCAGGACCTTTGGAAAAATAGCCAGTGCTCTTAACTTCTGTGCCATCTCTCCAACGCCAAAGGCAACTCTTATGAAGGAGATATATTTAATTGTGGTGGTGGCTTACATTTTCAGAGGTTTAGTCCATTATCACCATGGTGCATCATGGTGTCATACAGGCAACAGGAAGTGATCTGAAACACTAGGTTTGGCTTGAGCATATATGAGACCTCAAAGCCTGCCTCCACAGTGACACACTTCTTCTAACAAGGCCACACCTCCTAACAGTACCACCCTCTTTGGAGTCCATTCTCTCTCAAACCACCTAAAAAACAAAAAAATAAAGGGCATTCTTGAAAGATGATATAGGCATGCCCTACCATGCCTGGTTTATACAGTTCTGGGGATTGAGACAATCGCTCTACCAACTGAACTATATTCCCAGGACCCCTCGTTTTATTGGTGTGATGTGCTACACATATCTCTGTATGTTCAACTGCCATCCTTGCTGTCATCAGATAAACCCCACTTGGGGATGGGGAGCTGCATATGTAAACTTCCTGTCATGCAAGCAGGAGGACCTGAACATAGATCTCCAGCACCCATGTAAAAGCTTGGTGTGATCACACATCTGTAACCATAGTGCTATGAAGTCAGGGACAGACAAATCCCTGAAAGTCACTGGCTAGAAATCTATCCAGTTGATGTGATGAGGTCTGGATTCATTGAGAAGCCTGATAAAGTGGAATGCCATGTATTGTTGAAGCACACCTTTCCTCCCAGGACTCAGGAGGCAGGTAGTCTCTGTGAGTTCAAGCCCAGCCTGGACTACATAGTGAGATCCAGGATAACCAGGGCTCTATAGGAAGACCTATCTGGAATGATACTTAGACATACCCACTCTATACAACTGGGGATAACCATATTAAACAAGTACCATGTACTTTCTGTCTTCTGTGCTTCCTAGATTGTGTATTGCTGTATCAGGACGTGTGTGTGACCTGACAGAGGACTGATGGTGGGGAGACGCATGAGATGCAGGGCCGGGTGGGCGCAGGGATGGGATAGGCTGCGTCGACTGTATCTGCACTTCTGTTAGTAAGTCAGTACATGCTGTCACCCCAACTTGTCTCTGAGCTGTATAGACTGCACAGTCGAAAGGATCTCCAGGAGGCTATTTGATTTAGTCCTTTTCCCTTACAGAAGCAAATTACTGTCTCCATAGGAAAATACCTGAGGTCTGGAAAGTTGGTGTAATTTAACCAAGGCGTCTTACTGGTTAACATCTGAGTAGCCACCAAAGCCTAGAACTAGGGTGTCCTCACTGCAGCCCGTAGTGCACATGTGATCCCTCTTAACTGGCTTCAGTGCTTAGTGACCCTCTTCTGTTTTCTTTCTCTGTAGGTTTTTTGCACTGACATCCCTTCGTTTTGTGTTTTTACTTGCATTCAGCTTGATGATCATTGTCTGTATTGATCAATGGAAGAACAAAATTTGGCCTGAGATAACAGGTAAGATTTGTAGTATTTAGAACAATTTGAACTGGCAACAACTTTTTATGTTATTTTTGCCTTTAGGTTTTTTGTTAGTTTGTTTTTGAGGGATATGTGTTGCTGGGGACTAATACCTGAAGTCTGAATTGCTTGTTTTAGGAGACATTTGAAAATCATAAGCCTCAGGCCTTACACCACCTTAGGTGGTGGAGCACCCCTTTAATCCCAGGACTCAGGAGGCAGAGAGAGGCACTCTATGAGTTCAAGGACAGCCTGGTCTATATAGTGATTTCCAGGACAGTCAGGGCTATGTAGAGAGACCCTGTCTCAATAAATAAATAAATA